AATCAAGCACAGCCACGTTAGTCATTTGGGCGGAGTTAGTTACTTTCATACACTTCCCAGTGGCGCACTTCGTCTTCAATTCTTCATTGTCTTCTCCATTGTAGAAATTAGTGGCGCAACGGTGAAGAAGGTACAGTGGTAGGCCTGATTCTGCCTACTCAACCTGTGTGAACTGTATCAGCTTTAAATCTCACTTTATTATTGATTCCAGGTTACCAGAACATCTCACGGACCTTTCAGTTCGCTCCAACTACATTAATACTCTTCATTATCTACCTGGAAGTGCACGGTAAGTATTTTATTGTGGGCACTGGGTCTGGAGGAAAGGTGACTTTTTGCTTCTTTTTTAGTAATTTCGTTAGTTGAGGCGGAGGTGGTGTAGTGACAAGTGGCGCGCTCACCACTCGCGCGGTCCTGGGTTCGAATCCCAGGTCGACACCCGCCCAGGCCAAGCCTTCTACCCTCCGGGGACGGTAAATTGGTACCAGATTCGTCTGGGAGGATAAAACACTGACTTGTACATCGGCTGGCCACCGCAAGTCATTGTATAGGCCACATCGCATTCAATAAGCCACTACGATTCTGAATGGAAGTAGAATGCGTGCCGCATCCCACAAAGGGATTGATCAACGGCGAAGACTTTATCCTTTATCCTTTTTACATTGAGTGTGAGTTGCTGAGAGCATATGTTGTGGATTGGTTTTCTGTTCAGGAGAAGGACGTCAGTGTCAGCCGCATGCTATTAATAAAAGGCCAAATAAGCTGGTTTGGAGGGCGGAGTTTCCCAAATAGGACCCTCTAGACTGCCGACCGACAACTGAGCATCTTTACAACTTTCCTCAAAATTCTGCCGTCGAACGGGGAGTGGGGGATGGGAGCGGACGGAGTAGTGAACGTGAGATAGCCGAAACCAAATATGACCTTGCTCCCTCCTGCAACAAACCGGCACACCCCGTCTGGAAATTCCAAAAGTACGGCGTGATCATGGAGAAACGCTAGAAGTTCTCTAGTGGTGGAACGGTTCACTTAAGAGTGGCTGGAATCTTGGTCCGAGTACTGTGAGTATTATTCCAGGACTCGGATTACCCTGTCAAGACTGCCAACCGCGACATAGGAGTTGATTGAGTATTTATATATCCGTATTCGGAACAAATGCTAGGTGAAGCGTACATCCACCTTGCTGTTATAGACGCAGACTGACCAATACTTTCTACCTGGATGACATTGAATCAGTTAGATCCTGCTGCGAATTTGGGGCATGTGGCGCCTTATCTCCACCATCATAACATGGATGCAATGCTCCGCTTCCGTGACTCAAACTCCATGAAAGACATTTCAGGAACCTGCACCGGCTCGATCTCTCTAAGAATCGATTGGATTACATTGTTGGCAGTGGATCAGTGAACGTGCTCCCGCCTTCGCTGAAACAAGCCGATTTGTCATATAACATGATTACGTTCATTCAAGAAGGCGCTCTAGGACACATGAAAGATTTAGCCCTTCTGGACCTTAAGTAAGTATCTGAATGTGCACTATACGCTGTTCGTGTGGGTGCGGTCGGACCAACCGCTGCTGCTTTCTCAGTGGTACTCCCTCATCTTTGAGTTCATGAGGAGAGCTGCGGTGAAGGCTCATTGGTGGGCCGACCTCTCGATCAGCGTGGACTGCGCTTTTAAATAATTGGACAAATAAAACTAATAATTTGGTTGAAAGAAACTGTTGTCAACTATCAATGGAAAAGTTCCTATTGATCTGTTATTCAGAGGAAACCTTCTGACCGAATTGAAAGAAAGCTCCTTGAGCGGTCCACAAAATCAACTACGTTTATATCTCGAAGGCAACCCATTCCAGTGTCACTGCGGACTGCGTTGGTTGATTCACGTCAGGGAAAAGGTGAACTTTGACATATTGTAGTCTCACCAATAGGTTGAAGGCAGTACGCAATAAAATCGCAAAATTCCTGTTCTTTTACATATTATCAACCCTCAATAAAAACGTCAGCATCGGGGTCTTGGTAAACTCTCCCTTCCCCTTACTGATTGCCGATGTATTTGTCCTACTTCTACGACGGCATGTTGCGAAATTAGAGCGCTACATGGAACGCTACATCTCCATTAAACTTCTGTCCTTTTTCAATGCGTAGAACTTCATAGCAAACAATCCTTTGCAGAGCAGCAGGACGGTTTCATTACACTTGGAGGGGATTGTCTCAGAATACCTTGAAAACCATGTAATTTCCGCCGTTTCGCATGTAGGCCGCATAAGGCTCTCCCCTCCGCCGCGGATCCCATTGCATATGCTTGGCCCTGGCTCAGGTGCATCCACTGGGTCCCTTCCCGTCTCTGGTGTCCGTGAAAATGCCGTTGGCTCCCTCAGTCATTAGGCCTAAGGATGGGAATCTCCATAGTAGTACACGTTTCAGAGCCATCTTATTATAGCTCGTCTCCAATACGGGAAAGAGTCAATAATACATTGACGGCGTGCGCGGCAGCGGCGAGTGCGATAGGTCGCTGGTCCGTCCGGGTCGAGCGGCGCCGCAGGAGGAGTCCGTAAGGGCTGCGTTTATACTTTGCGGCAGCGTAGCGTAGCGCTTCCAGCGTACGCCAGCGGCAGTGCCGGGAGAGGATGCATATCGATCTAGCGTTCCCAGCGTCACCAGCGTAACGCTAGCGTTTCTCCAGCGTTTCACCAGCGTTTTGCTAGCGTTTGCAGCGGCAGGGAGTAGAGACTATGGGAGAGCTGGAGGGTACAAAACACATCGATTGCGCGTCTCTCACTGGCCTCATCTCTACTAATAACTCCATCAGCTCTGCGTCTCTGACGGGCACAAAGTCTCTACATTCTCGCGCTGCAAACGCTGCAAACGCTGGCAAAACGCTGGTGAAACGCTGGAGAAACGCTGGCGTACGCTAGCGTTACGCTGGTGACGCTGGGAACGCTAGATCGATATCCATCCTCTCCCCGGCACTGCCGCTGGCGTACGCTGGAAGCGCTACGCTACGCTGCCGCAAAGTATAAACGCAGCCTATGTGTGAATCACACCGGCGCCTATCTGCTGCGCGCCCGTGGGCGAACCTGTAATCACAAGCTCGAACGCCGCTATTCAGCTTGCTAACTAATTCTCTCACTGCTGATCGCCCTTACACTCTTCGTCCGTCGCTTTCCGGTCTGTCCTCACACCTGGCAGTACGGTCGCCTGTCAGGTACTGCAGTTGAACTTGATCATTAACACTTTTGCTTTCAATTTGTTTCGTCCCTTACCTCATACAAGCCATTGTAATTCCGCCAACCCCGGGACTCTTCAGTGAGATAGAGTGGACGAAATGAGGGCAACAATGGGGAGGAGTTAACAAAAAGATTATGAGAAATTTGATGTGCAGCCCCCTAGTGCTTAAGCCGATGTCCGGAACCAGTGGCTTTTGAAAACTACGAATCGTATACCATTTCAGACAGCACCAGTCGTACTCGATCTGCCCACGCTTACATGTACTGCTTTGTTGGACGAGAGCCAAGTGCTCAATTTGACAGTGGCTGATCGAATGAACCAACTTATGTGTAGATATGAGACAGTGAGAAGTTTCTTCGAATTTTTACAAACTTCTTCGGAAGTTTTGTATTTTCATAATGATGCCGGGTTTTTGTTGACACACACCACATCGGATATCAAGATGATCTTGATGTTTCACTAAGTGACGTCGCAAGTGTGAGGTCGTTTTTTTAAGAAGGATTCACCGCTTGTTATAAACAATTCACACAAGAGTTCTCGCGCTTCATATCCATCTTTCTGTAAGAATTCCTCCTCTTGCCTCAGGGGTTTCGACACATTCTCAAAGATTGTCTATCTTCTTCCGGCTTCCTTGTTAATGAGAGACAGCGGTGCGTTGCGTGTTTCAGCATAATGTTGTGCAGTGTCATATCGTTATCTCTGTAGCCGGTACTTTTTATACCCGTATGCTAATCTGCAACTATCGTGGCCGCGATCGTCCCTCGTCCGTGAATTTTGAACACTTCTGCCGATTTATGAGCGCGCTGTACAGTTGGGCTGGGAATAGAGTCTCTTCACGTTTTTTTGGTTGATAGCATCTGCTCCGGCGTATCTAGGATCGAAGTTTTTAAAATAATGTGCGTTTTATTGAGGTTGGAAGTGGTCCGTCGTGACCAACAACTTTTGTTATCCCGCGTTTTTCGCGTTGCTATAAAAATTTCCAAGGGAGGGTGGTATTAAGTGTAACATATGTTCAGTGGTTTCCTCCCTTTTTTCTCAGTTGATCTTTTTCCGCTCTCAATTCCCCGCTTTAGTGGAAAAACGAGATTTGCAGGGCTGAAAAAAGCATGATTTTTTAAATCGTCATTTTTACGATCGTAAGAGTTCTTTATCGTGAATGCATCTTTGTGCTGTGAGGCGTAGTGTTGGGCGATTAGAGATAATTGGGCACGGTACTAAACTGGGACCAAAACGGGGTTCTATCCAGGGCAGGTGACATGTTTTTGTGCTTTTTATTCACTGTCGAGTTACTCAGCCCCTTGTCGTCTATATGATGGCGAATAATCGAAGTTCAAGCGTGGAGTCTGTCCATAAAGGCCACGCATGGGAACGTCCTTGCCTACCACTGTGCCTTCCTCATGGGCGTCCCGCCACCCTGGAAGACGGTGGAGGGCACAGGCGATTTTATGGGAAATACGCATTGGAACGCTTAGTTCCGCCTATGCCACCAATGCGGATTCTGTCTTCGCACTCTAGTCTCATACTGTGGATCGCAACATTTCAAGTGCTTTGATTTTATTTTCAGCTTTGCCCGTTGTCATGCAACTGTTGCGGGGGTCAGTCATGCCCATGTCGAAGTACATGTCCACCTCAGTGTCAATGCTATCGATCTGTCTACATCGAGCTTCGGGTAGGTGTTTTTATCCGCCTATAAATAAAATGATTTGCCCTTCATAAAGATCCGTTGCCTCATGAATGAATTGGGAATGTGGACACAGGAAGTGTGACACGAGGGCGGGTCTTATGATGTGGCCTCAACGAGGCTGGAGACTTCAAAACCTTACTGTATCCTTTACTGCATTGAACGCGAACCATCCCCAGGGGTAATATGTACCTTTACCTATGGATTTGCGTGTTCCGCGCGATCAGCAGTGACTGCTATATTTTGAAGGGAACGATGAAGAAAGACAGACTGTCTAGTCCATCAGAGACAACCTAGTTCAAACCCTTTGTAGGTATTCAACAAAAACTCTTCAAGAGGAGTCTTACTTTGCCAGTCCTGGCAGGAAAGATTTTGTGTCATTACTTTGAAAGTACTAGTCTTGTTCGGTGCGAATGCTGGGACCTGACAGGGAGGTTGGGTTTGGCGCGGCCAGTTTTCCACCAATTGTTGAGGCGGGACAAGCGATAACAATTAGTGGAAAGAGTTGACCCCAGCTGACACGCCCCAGCATCAGCAGCGAACAAGGCGTCACCTTGTTAATTACAGAACTCGCAGAACGTACTGGTCTGTGATAATTTACGTCTGGATCACTTTGACAGTATTCCTGAGTCCGCTACGGAGCTACGTCTCGACTCGGCCACTTGGAAAGCGTGGGACATAGAGAAGTTCAAGGTAACTGAAGTTCTCTCCTCACTTTTGTTTGTGTTGTTAATGGAAGCAAGCAAAACAGGTCTAGAAGGCGGCGGAATCGGACGGGATTGGTTCAGGACATACGAGCCAATGCATTCCTTTAATACAGTATTCCTAACTATTATTTGGCGCAGCACTTCAACTTCAATTCAGATGTGTCATGGCAGCTCATACTAAGCTTAGACTGTCTCTCAAACTATACAGGGCGTAGACGGTCTTGTCGCAGTTGATTTGGCTGGAAAGTGCTGTGCCTAGTCAAATAGCAAGGAATACTACCAGGTTTCCACGCGCTACCGCGCCTTGGATGTTTTGACTACGCGCCTCTCAGAGAGAGTCATATTCGATTAATCTACAACTCATTTCTTCGTAAAATCTCGCCATTTGAGTTTCGGGTTTAACAATTTA